AGGAGCAAGGGTGGCTCCCGGGGGAGGCTGAGCACTTTCCTGAAAATTTCAGCGGGGGCTCACGCCCCGCCGCCCCCACGAAGATTACGCCTATGAGTCCAGTGGGTGTTGTTTGGGTCACTTTGGGGTGCCAGGCTGCCCCTCTCTGAGAGGAGTGGTCTGACTGCTCACAGCTCATTGCAGGGTGGCCTGCCTCCCTCACATCCCCCTCCCCACAGTAGTTCCTCCTTCCCTCCCCGGGGCAGCCCCCACATCCTCTCCCCTTTCCCTGCCTGGTTTTCTCCTTCTCAGCCATTCACCCGACCTACCATTTATCCGCCTCCGTCTTCAGCTACATTTATTTAGAAATTCAATTTCTAAACAGTTCTTCCCCATACTTGGGGCTCAGGGCAGTGTACAACCTTTGAAAAACAATCATAAAGAGAATGAATAAGTTAAAAACAGTTAAACAATGCAATGCAACTAGCTTACAATATTGTCTCCCCCTCCCCTTTATTCACACAACAACCTTGTGATGTAGGTTTGGTTAAATGTATATGACTGGTCCGAAATCACCCAGTGAGCTTCCACAGCAGATGGGGATTCGAACCTGGGTCTCCCAGGCCCTACTCTGAAGAAGAAGAGACTGGATTTATACCCCATGGCCCTTCACTACCTGAAGGAGTCTCAGAGTGGCTTACAAACTCCTTTCCCTTCCCCTGCCCACAACAGACACCCTATGAGGCCAGTGGGGCTGAGAGAGCTCTGACAGAAACTGCTCTTTTTTCAAGGACAGCTCTTATCAGAACTACAGCTTGCTCAAGGCCATCCAGCAGGTGCAAGTGGAGGAGGGGGGAATCAAACCCGGTTCTCCCAGATTAGAGTCCGCACACATAAGCACGACACCAAACTGGCTCCCTCTAAAATGAGAAGAGATTGGATTTATACCCCTCCCTTCACTACCCAAAGTTGTCTCAGAGCGGCTTACAAACTTCTTTCCCTTCCCCTCCCCACAACAGATGCCCTGTGAGGTGGGTGGGGCTGAAAGAGCTCTGACAGGAACTGCTCTTTTTCAAGAACAGCTCTGACAGAACTACGGCTTGCCCAAGGTCATCCAGCAGGTGCAAGTAAAGGAGTGGGGAACCAAACCCGGTTCTCCCAAATTAGAGTCCGTGCACTTAACCACTACACCAAACTGGCTCCCTCTAAAATGAGAAGAGATTGGATTTATACCCCATGGCCCTTCACTACCCAAAGGTGTCTCAGAGCACTGGAGTTACCAACCTCCAGGTACGACCTGGAGACATCCCAGAATTACAGCTCAGCTCCAGACAACAGAGATCTGTCTCCCTGGAAAAAAAACACTGCTCTGCAGAGGGGACTCTGTGGCATGATATTTGGCTGAGGTCTGTCCGCTACCTGAACCCTGCCCTCCTCAGACTCCACCAGAAAATCTCCAGGAATTTCCCAACCTGGAGCTGGCAACCCTAGTCAGGTCCTCCCTCAAAAGCCAAAAATAGGCCTGGAAAGGACCCTGCCCTCTCCCCCTGCTTTTTTATTCAGGGAAACCAAGCTTGGAGCACTGTGGTTGCCTAGCAACAGCCACTGGGGGAATCCATTGCTTTAAAGCTACAGGAGCTCATTTTATCATACCAGTGTGTGTGTGTGTGTTTGAGATTTCACATTTTTCTGCAAACCTGGAGCCCTTATCAGGCTTGCAGAAAGATCTTCCTTGCCCGTCTGTAACTCCCGTCAGTGGAGTTAAGTATCCAAAGATTTGGCCAACTTGACTATAAATCTATAGAAGCCTGGCATAGAGAGAGTGGACAGGGAGGCACTTTTCTCCCTCTTCCACAATGCTGGAACCCGAGATCATCTGCTGAAGCTGAAGGGTGGGAGATTCAGGGCAGACAAAAGGAGGTATTTCTTCATACAGGAATTTTCAGAGAAAAGGTTGGGGTTGGTTTCTCAGCACTTTTTTTGAAAAAACCTGTCAGATGAAAACAACTGGGAAATCTTGGAACGCACTCCTGTGAAATATTATCTCTTTTAGAAAATGCTTCTTAAGAGGTTTTTCACACTCACAATACATAGCATAAAAATAAAGGCTTTTCCTGTTTTTCCAGTGGACATTTTATGTAAGACAATCTACAGCGCTAGATAATTACAAGAAGGGGGACCCGCGATACTCACGGGGGGGGGGGGCTCCACATGAGGGAGGAGGAAGCAGCTGCAGGTGAGCCTTCTCCCCCACCCCCGGTACCAACATCAAGGCCCATGTGGCTCCTAGACGCTGGGCGTGCCAAGCCTTCTCCCCCACCCACCCCGACACCAATGGCGAGGCCTGTGCAGCTGCCAGGCCCGCCAAGCCTTCTCCCTCCCCCAACAAACGCTCCCCCTCCCAGCGGCAGCCCGCCAAGCCTCCCCCTCCCCCCCAGCGGCAGTGGCAGCCTGTCAAGCCTTCTCGCTCCCCCCCCCAGCGGTGGCGAGGGCGAGACAGTTCCCAGGGCGTTCTCTGCGCACGCACAGGGAATGCTCTTTTACTTTTGGGGGAATTTAAGTATCCCCCATATACTTTTTTCAACTTTTTAGATTTTTCTGCACACCTGGGGACTGCTCCAAGACTGCAGGAAAATTTCTCTGCCCCCCAGGTTCCCCTGATGTGCAGATTTAGATATCCGCATGGGGGGGGCAACTTGGTTATTAGATATATAGATTAATTTTATGAATTATTCTCCTTTTTAGTTCTCTTAGAAAGGATACCTCATTTTTAGTTCTCTTAGGAATTTCATAGGGAGACTGGAAAGAGAGACTGCTGAATTGCAAATGATAATGAAGCTCAAGACATTGCACCCTCCAGGACTGAATCGAGACCGAGGTCTCCTGTCTCCTGACCAATGCCAATTTCTCTACACCTACTTACCCTCTGCATATCACACCTAATCCAATCACACCTGCTATTGTCATTTGCCAGCTATTGTCATTCCAAAGACAAAGGGGACCCTTAGTGTATAAATATAGTAACAAACAATATCCACCAAGGGAAGACCATCTACAGTTCACAACTATTTTTTAAAATTTATTTAACTTTCAATTTCTAGACCGCTCAACCCCCCGAAGGGCTCTGAGCGGTTTACATAGTACAGTCAACACTCCTATGTTCAAAACTATATATTACAAGTCATGCCCGGCACGGGAACGGATGCCTTCCACGCTCTCGCCCCCCGGAGGTTTGGGACAGGCTGGGTGGCTCGGGCTCGGAAGGCGACGGCGCTGCCTGCAGCCCGTGTCTCGGCCAGAGGCTCCCCGGGCCAAGCCGCACGCTCCCTTTTTGTTTTGTTCTCCGCTTCTCCAGGACAGGTCCTGGGAACAGGGGCGGGGAAAGAGATGCCGGGGCCACCCCCTCGCCAGTCCCGGGGCGGAGGGGAGCGTGCTCATCATCATGTGGCTGCACTGGGAGGCGGAGCAAGGGCGGGAGGTGAAGCCGGCCGGAGTGGCCCGGGGGAGCCGCTGGCCTCGATCCAGGCAGAGGTCATGATCCAAGCTGGGCGAGCAGGCGGACCTTTCCTTGGCATTAGGGCGCAGTTGCAGACAGTCGAGCAATCCCACTCGCAGCGCAGCCGTATGCGCAAAGCGACATCGGTTGCCTGAGCTGTATAATGGGGATTAGGGACCTGCTTTTTAGAATACCACATGAAAGAAGACCCGCGAAACTCGCGGGGGGGGGAGCTCCAAACTGAGCTCCCGGAGGAGGAACCAGCAGGAGCAGGTAAGTTCCCCCCCATCCTGCCGGTTCCTCCCTGTCCACCCCCCCGCTGGATTTTCCCCCCCCGCTGGATCTCCCCC